GGCCGCGGGGGTGACGCTGCTGTCCCCTCTATCTCTGCCCGCAGGTCTGCTGGAGATCCGCGCCGTGGCCGTGCGCACCGTGGCCATCAAGGGCGTGCAGAGCTCCCGGTACCTGTGCATGGACGAGGCGGGGCGGCTGCACGGACAGGTGAGCACCCGCGCTGCTGTCCCCGGGGGGATTTTGCACTCTGGAACAGCGGCGTGCTCTAATAACGGGGTAACAAAGTTTCCAGGTGTCCGCCACCCTTCTTCCCCCGCCTCCCCAGCCTGTTCTCCCTAGGACGTGCGCTTCTTGGCACCGTCACTGCCCGAAAGGCTGTGGGGATTGTTAGAAGGCAGAAAGGAAAACGTAGTTTAGAAAGTAAATTATGTTTTGCGTGTCCCCTGCCAAAATATACCAAAAATACACCCCAGGGGAAAAATTGCATTTAGATTTAAAATTCTCATCAGTGGGAGACTGTGATTCTGCTGCAGAAATAGATTAAACTCTGCTGTAGAATATAAATAATTTCTCACTGTTCAGGTCAGGTATTCTGGAACAAAAAAAAAATAAAATTAAGAGACTGCTCCTTTGGAGAAGAGTTGCAGCCAGCTGGATGCCAAACACAACTCCCAGGAACACGGGGTTGCTATCTCCTAGGAAGCTGCAAACATAAAAAGGATTTTGAGGAGGAAAGGATGCTTCTCCACTGCCTCTCTTTTGCCTTGCTGTAGTTGCACACCTGTGGACTCTGAGGGCATGGGGAGTTAATTGCCCCACTGATGGCACTAGGTTAGCTTTTTCACTAGGTTTAGCAACAAGTCATGGACATAAACTCATTTTTAAGGCACGTGAATATATTATTGACTCTAGAATTTGTCAGGTGCAGTCCAGATTTAGTCTGTACAGAAGCATGAGTTTCACAGAGTGATGGCTTTTAGTGATGCAACATTAAAGATACAGCTTGATCCTTTTTTGATTATTCCAGCAAAATTTCTGCTGATTTCACTCACGAAAGGACTTGGTCCATTCTCAAAACTCCTAGTAGGTTTAATAACAACAACAATGATGTTTCTGAATGGGGATAGAATTAAGAATGCGTAAATTGAATTAAGCCTTTCTTTCTGAATTTCCTTGCTTTTTTGGGCTCAAATCAGTCGAGGCTGAGATGAAATGCACAGGTACAGATGAAAGATGAATGGTCAGGGTGACGGTAGGTCAATTATTAGCTTAATTCTTTAATGTATATCCAAAACAAACCAGAGTCTGGATTCTGCTCCTATTGGAGCTACCAGCAACTTGTTTTGATTGAACTTGTGCAATCACAGAATTTTAAAATGGCTTTCCTATAACACCATTTTGAAGGCACACACATTGGTTGGAACTGCATTTGTTGGTGTAGAGTATTAGATACAGGTTGGGGTTTTATTCTGCAAACACAACAGCACATAGCAGTCCTGTCCCATCTCTGTGTTGTGGACACCTGCTGTCACCTCTGTGCTCACAGCCCAACCAGGCAGCTCTGCAGGTAAATCTTTACCTTATCAGCACCATGCTCAGGACTTGGAGAACAAAAGGGCAAACACAGTGTCTGGGGGCTGAACCTGTGCTCCTGCAACATGGCCTGTTTTCACACTGGAAAACTGATGACTGGGGTTGGTTTTTGAATGTGCTGTGTGCTGTAGTCAGTAGTTTAGGGGACATGCTGAATATGTTGACATACTGTGATTCCTCCTGTGAAAAAAAAAATCTGGAAATACTTAAAAAGTCTGTTTGGTACTTGTTTATAAAAAACTGACTGGAGAACGTCCCAATGAAATGAAGAGGGAAAGGTATAGCTGAGACACAGGGACTCAATCAATATCTGTTGTTTGTAGAGTGCACTTCTTGAGCAAGAAGCTCTTTTATTTCATCATCCTTTTTAGTGAGACTGAGCACTCATAAAGACAGCTAACAATCCAGCTCCAATCTTTTGTCATATACATATATTTTTCTGAGATATGTGTGTGTGTAAGGATAAATATTGCACCATTTTATTTGGAGAAAACATATTTTTTAAAATTACTTTATTAATTTAAAAGATACTTTTAAAAGATAACCAAATGCATGCCCTTAATTTTACTCCCTGTTACTAAGGAGGGTGTCTGAGAAAGGGCTGGAATTACTAAATGTGCTCTCTGTTCAGACAGGCAGAACATGTAAGGACATTTCTATCTCTGCAGACTGAGATATAATCAGCAATTCTCTTTTATTGACCACAGGTTCAATCACCTGCAGTGGCTGAGACTGAAATAGCACCAGAGTTGTAAGAAACGCAGTGCTGATGTAAAGATCTGGAGAGGTCAGACCTGCTGTTACGGGTCTAATGTACAAATATAATATATATACACATATATATGTTTACAACTTAGGATGTTGCAGATATATAATATCTGTACAGGGCATTGTAAATGTAATCCTACAAATTCATACCTAAGAAAATACATTCTTCTCTACAAAATCCTAACTTGTGCTGGTATTCATTCAACAGTTCTCATGTTAACATGAAAATGACACTTCATAAAAGGGTCTTTGGCAATTCCAGTAAATTTTGAGCAGAAAAAGGTGGAAATTACCATTTAGCATTGTTTTACTGATTAGCCACGTTGTCTTTCTACAGACCTCATACTGAAACGCTTGCCCAGGCAAATCTCTAACAGAGCAGGAGTTCTATACTTGTATTAGGACTCATGGCTGCAGTTAAGGACTGCTCATCTAAATCAGCACTGGCACCTGAGACTCTTTTTCCCAGTGCTCAGGACAGGATAAGTGTGGTGGCTATGGAGAGGCACATCCCAGGATTCACAGCTTATTAAATGGGATGAACATGGAAAGAACTTCAGGGGGAATAGGGATAGGATATGATAGATTAGAATAGAATAGAATACAATACAATACAATACAAATACAATACAATACAAGCCAGAAGGACACCCCCATTGAGGGACAAGGACTTTTCCCATCCAAGGTTTGTTTTGTTGTTGAATACAACCAGCCTGGTGGGTATATTTGTAATTCTTGCTATTCCTTACTGCTCAGCTCAGGTATTCTACTGAAGACTGTTCCTTTGAGGAGGAGATTCGCCCAGATGGCTACAACGTGTATAAATCCAAAAAACACGGAATATCGGTGTCTTTGAGCAGTGCCAAACAAAGACAGCAGTTCAAGGGAAAAGATTTCCTTCCCCTGTCTCACTTCTTGCCCATGATCAACACTGTGCCCGTGGAGTCAGCAGACTTTGGTGAATACGGTGATTACAGCCAGGCCTTTGAGCCAGAGGTGTTCTCCTCGCCCCTGGAGACAGACAGCATGGACCCCTTTGGCATCGCCTCTAAACTGTCCCCAGTGAAGAGCCCCAGCTTCCAGAAGTGACTGTGCTCCCACACGTTTATACAGAAACATTGCAGAGTATTGCAGAGTTTTAGCTTTTTTGTAGTGATATTTGGGAACTTTTTTGTGTGTTTGAGTAAGAAGCTAGCCTCGTCCTTGTTGTACCTGTAAGAAATAAGTGACAAGAGGCTGTTCTATAGTCTAAAGAATTGCCAATCCATAGTTTTGTTTGGAAAAGGAGGATTAAATGCGAAAAGTTTAGAGCTTTATCAGAATTCCTCCATAGGTGGTGATAAAATAACTATAATTTTTGTACACCAGCTTCACTTCCACATATTACCACCTGTTATATCTGCTCATATGAGCAAAAGCAGAAAACTTTTTCCTCTTCAGAGACCTCAGACTCAAACATTTGGACCAAAACTAGATGAAGGAAAACATCATACCAGATGTAACTTGAGTTAATGCTGCTTCTTAAAAGGCTGCAAACAACATTCTGGGGAAAACTTTCTATTGAAAGCATACTACTGAAAAAACAAATCTGCTTGTATATTGTGATTTTTCTTCCCTTATAAAATACAGAAAGAAGTGAAAGATTTCTCCCTTCCCTTACTGCTAAAAAGGTCTTTGGGAAACTTGATCGTTGATTTCTTTTGCAGGCTAAATTACATTCTCTGTGGCATCAGAATCATCCAGCAGAGAGTTCTCATCAAAATCAGTGAGAATTCTGTGTGTGGTTGGAAGAGTGAAAGAGCTAGAATTGATGTTCGTCAAATAGGGAATGAGCAGCTCAAATGAATGTTTAAATGAAGATTCTGTTGTATATAAGCATGTATATGTCATTAGCAAACAAAGAAAAACACTAAGAATGGATGTATAGGTCAAATCAGTTGTAAAATAGGTTTTTGTGTTTAACCTTTAACCACCAGGAATTCTTTCAAGTCACTTCCAGGCTTGATTCAGCATCCATGGGAATCAGTGGAGAGATGGTTTAGTGAGTTAAAAGCTGCAGAACTGAGTTAGGATTCTCCTGGCAGGAAGGGATTGTGAGTAACTCTGGTCAAAGCACCTGATGTCTTCAAGGTCTGTTCTCCCTTTGAGAAGATTCAAAGAAGGAATAAGCAAGGTGAAGCCAAAGGAAAAAAAATACAAAAAAAAGGATGGTTTAGGGATTCTACTTGTTTCCAAAAGTTCATTTATAACAGAGATTTCGGTACAAAAGAAAAATAAGCTCTACTGGAAATACTGGTGTTCTTCTAACCTAGCACTTCATTACCAATGCAATATTTATAATTAATTTATTGAATACATACATCTGTTTATTTTGTTACTGTTATTTATGCTCAAAATTCTATTTATATAGTCCTGAAGGTGGGTTTTTTTAGTTGTAACAAATCTTGTGAGGTTTTGTAATCAATGAAATTTCAGCCAACGATAGCTTTTTACATTTCTGTGCATTAACAGTACTGCAATGTGTACATTTGCAATAAAACAGAAAATCATCTTCAATTCTGAAATCTGCTTGACTCTCTTGTCTCTCCCTAAGTACCATATCCACACATCTTCTAAATACCTCCAGAGCTGGTGACTCAACCACTTCCCTGGGCAGCTTCATGACAAAAAAGATCCCGTGGGTAGAAGGCTACTCCCATTTAAAAATGGGAACCATTCTAACTGGTGCTGCCAGGGAGAAAAGTGGTGAGTTTTGCCTGAAAAAGATGTCAGTTTCTGTCAGGAAAAGAGCCTGAATGTTTCCACTTGGAAATGCTGTGAGTCACAGGAACAGATTTCTTGGCTGGCAAACTTTTCCCATGGTGTTTTCCCATTCTCTTTTGTGCTGAGCCACTGCCACACAACCGGGGGGTTCGACTCCTCTTGTGCTGGTAGAGGCAGTTCTGATTTTCAGGTTGTTTTATTCCAAAACTTTTCAGATTTCAGAGGGTTTAATTTCCAGTTTTTATCAGTCACTGTATTTTCTTTGAACGCCTTTAAGACTTTTTTCACAAAAACCAAAAAAACCAAACTAGAAAACAAAATAAAATACTAATAAACTTTTAAAGTTTGGGGAAAAAAGTCACTTTTACTTTTCTGCTAAAAAATTGTACAGATTTGACAGGAAACATGACAAATAATGGAGTTTGGAGGGTACACAGTTTAATTGTGCCAGTGAGAGATTTTTTAAGTGGTTGTAACATTGTGACTATTTCTCAAGGCTGCAAAGACAGGCAGCCTTACATTGAGAACAGCACCTTGAGCTCTCTCGTGACCCTATTTGCTGACACCTTTGGATTACCATTTTCTACCGGCAGCACAGTGATTTTTCATGCAACAGCATGGTTAGAGGTTGGTTCAGTATTTATTCAGACAGAGGGAAGAATGCCAGGAGCTAAATTAACCCACATCGCTTCCTGGAGCGCTTCAGTTTTCGCTGGAGTTTTCCCATCCCAGCTCTGACCAAACCTGGGTGTTTGGTTTATAAAATCTTACAAGATCTCGGCTTGAGGTGGGAGGATTGCTGGGAAATGCTTCCCCTGCCCTTCGACACCTGACTCAGTCAGGAACCGGGTGTGCAAAACCTCCAAAAAACACCTTTGTTTCTGTGGGAATGTAAACATCACCACCACCCCTCAGCACACACGTCCCCTGTCCATCAGAGCTCCTCAAAGACAGTAGGACAATGGCGGTGCTTTCATTTGCAACAGCACATTTTACAGCCCTAAAAGGTTTTTAGCTCAGGTGTCAAATGTCTCCTTGTGAAGTCTCAGCTGGAAGCTGTGATGTGCAAATACGAGTTGTTAGAGGAGTGGGGAGGCTGCAAGAAAGGAGATACTGAGCGTCTTCATTTCCACTTGGGGGAAGTGTAAAAAACTATAAATCAATTCAAATAGTGTCCACTTTACCTTTGCTCAAATCACTGAAACCCTGTTGGTGGAAAATTCGGAGGCCACTCTTTCTACTCTGCCAGTCTACTTTGCATATGAATGGGGATATGGGGACACAACATGATAAATAAAATGTCCCTTTCTTTTCCTCAAAAATACATATTCTAACATCAGGCTGGCAAAATAGTGTGACGCAGAGCCACATTTTCATTAAGTATCTGGAAATTAACAGTGCAAGTTGACTTTAAAATATGCACTTATAAATGAGTATAAATGTTTCCTTTGACCATTGTTGATCTGTAACAACTCTTACATATTTTAACAGAGCAGCCTAGTGTTAGCCTTAGTGTAGGTACACTACAGTTTGGGTGGGTATTTACAGCAAAAATATTTATGTTTTAGAATCATAGACTGGTTTGAATTGGAAGGGACCTTAAAGGGACCTAAATTTCATTCCAGGGGCAGGGACACCTTTCTAGGTTGCTCAGAGCTCAATCCAACCTGGCCTTGGACTTTCCAGGGATAGGGCATCCACAGCTTCTCTGGGCAACCTGTGCCAGAGCCTCACCACCCTTACAGGGAAAATATGTGAGCATATGTACCAAAACCACACTTTTTGAAAGCCAGAGATACCGATATTATATGAGAGAGAGGGGCAGACTCTATAATTCCGTGACCAGGGACAAGACCCAAGAGAATGGCCTGAAGCAGCGTCAGGGCAGGCCTAGGTTGGATACCAGAACAAGGTTCCTCAGCCGGGGGGTGGTCGGGGAGTGGACCAGGCTCTGCAGGGCAGTGGTAGCAGCAAAAGGCTAGCAGAGCTCAGGGAGCGTCTGGACAACGCTTTGAGGTACAGGGTGGGATTTCTGGAACACGGGGTGGGATTTTGGGAAACCCACAGGTTTCCCCATCGACGCCCCGGGCAGGGATCTGTGGCGGCGCTCGGGCGCCCCCTAGTGGCCTCATGCCGCCATGGCGCATGGGCGCGGCTTGCCGTAAGGGGCGCGGTCTGTGGTCTCAGACCACGCCCCCTCCCGCGCGCCGTCCGCTCCCGGCATGCCTCGCGCCGCCATGGCTGACCTGTTTGATGGCATTGTGATGGCCGAGCAGAGGTGAGGGGTAGAGGGTGTCTGGAGCGGCCCGAGAGGGGCTCCTCGGCATCGCGGGGCTCCCTTGTGCATGTGCTTCCCTGCGGGAGCTGCTAGGGCAGCGTCAGGGAAAGGAGAGCGAGTGCTGAGCCCGAGGAGGGCGGGGAAAATTCGCCTCTGCGCGTTCTGAGAGACCGATCACGGCAAAACGGCCTGAAGCTGAGTCGGGGAAGGTGTAGGTGGGACATGAGGGAATGCTCTTCATCCAGAGGGTGGTTGGGCGCTGGAACAGGTTGCCGAGGGACTTGGTCTCAGCACAGAGTGGGACCGACCCCGGCAGGCTGGATCGATGAGCCGAGACCAGAGGGGTGAGGGTCAGCAAGACCAAGTGGTGGGTCCAGCCTTTGGGTCACCTCAACCCTCTGCAGCGCTCCAGGATAGCGGGAGAATTCCTGGAAAGCATCCCACAGGGAAAAGACCTCTGGCTGCTGGCCAAGAGCTGCCGAACACGAGCCCAGGTGGTCAGGAAGGACAATGGCATCCTGGCCCGTGCCAGCAATAGTGCGGCCAGCACGACCAGGGCACTGACTGCCCCCCTGTTCTGGGAACCGCTGAGGCCTCACCTTGAATCTTGGGGTCAGTTTTAGGTTCCTCACTACAAAAAAGATTTTGAGGCGCTGGAGTGTGTCCAGATAAAAGAATTGAGCTGGGACAGGCTCTGGAGCACAAGTCAGATGAGAAGGGGCTGATTGAGATTTGGGGGTTCAGCCTATAGGAAAGGAGGCTTGGGGAGGACCTTCTCTCTCCCTACAAATCACTGACAGGAGCCCCCCCATGTGGAGTTGGACTTTTCTCCCTGGTAACAAGTGACAGGACAAAAGGAAGAGGTCTCAAATTGCACCAGAGGAGTTTGGAGTTGGACATAAGGAGGAATTCCTTTTTGGAAAAGGTTGCCAGGCCTTGGAAGGGGCTGCCTGGGGAGCTGCTAGAGTCACCATTTCTGGATGTGTCTGAGGAACAGCTGGGTGTAGCACTCAGGGCTCTGGTCTGGTTGTCACAGTGGTGATCATTTAGAGATTCAACTGGATGATCTCAGAGGTCTTTACCAACTGTAATGAGACTGTGATTCTGGAATTTAAATAGATTTTATGTGGTACTTCTAAACTTTGGAGGCAATGCACGTTTCTGTTGCCCAGACTCACTCGTGTGAAGTATGAGCTCCATATGAGATTAACAAAGCTGTGATTCTGTGTTCCCAGGTTCCATGGGGAGGGGTACCAGGAGGGATTTGCAGAGGGCAGCCACACTGGAATGGCTGAGGGCAGGAGGTACGGAGCGCTCCATGGAGCCAGGATCGGCTCAGAGGTAAACGGGGAATGCTTCAGCATTGGAATCTTCTTGTCACTAGAAAATGTCATATACACAGAAACTTTCAGGCAAAGCCATACAGAAACTTTCAGGCTGGGGCCTGCTGTGTTTCACTGCTGTGTCTGTGTCTGGAATGACCCATTTTGAGGTGGAGAGTTCAGTACATGTGCCTGTGTTTTTTGAGCTTATTTGCTGTATGGAGCTTTGGTAATCTTTTTTCCCAAATTTATTGCTAAAGGCACCATCTCCTGTGGCTTAGGATAGGGAAGAACATGGAATCTTGAGACATAAAGAGGCAGTTCCACGTGTCTCGTGCACTCCACATTAATTCTGATGCTCTGAGGGTTTGTGGCACTGTACCTCTTCCTCACACAAAGCCAGCTCTGTGTTCTGGCACACCTGGATCGATAACCATTCCTAGGAATTCAGGGGCTGGAGAGTAGTGGGGAGGCAGCTTAACTTGTCCCATATGTCCAGCTCCAGTTTGTCACAGTCCCAGGATGAGAATGCTAAACAGCAGCCTCCAGAGCTGGATGGTTTTGTACAAAATATTGCTGGACGGACCATAAGAGAGAAGTGCTCTAATCTCTTCATACTGGGAAAGCTGCAGAGGGAGGCAGAATTAGAGACATTAAATGAGAGGATGACTTTGGTAATTTACACTTGTCAGCCTTTCCAGCTTAGAAACATGTTTGTGTATCCAGAGTTTAGTTTACTGAACAATGAGATACAGTGTAGTGCTTTATTTTTGTTTGACTGTCTGTACCATGTGTTCTTTGGGGATTTTTCTTTCCCTCAAAATTCACTTTTAGATCGGTTGCTACCTTGGGTTTGCACTGACATGGCACTATCTGCTCCAGAAATGTACAGATGAAAAGAACAGGTGAGGTTAAAAAAGCTAAAAGACATTTTGCTATGACTTCTATTCTTCATACCTTTTTTTTTTTCTGTCTCATTTTGATTAATCAGTCTGTCAGAATGGCCTTTTTGGTTGTATTTCTTTATTTTGCCTAGTCATCTAATCAGTATTTTTGTTGATTCTTGAATATTTCTCAACTTTGGATCGGTAAGTTGTAAGGGAAACTTTAAATCTGTCAGTTGTGCCTTAATTCCCAAATTGGAATAATTCCTAGTTTGGATAATTTCTTAAATATGTATAGAACAAACCTGACAATGGGCTAAATGGGAGAAGTTGAATTAAAGAAGGACAGAGGGCTGGGTTTTGTACTCTGGATTATTATGTATCAGTATAATTTTCATACTGATGGATTGAAAAAACTCCTGTGTGAAGATCATTTGGTTTTGTTTTGATCTGATTCTTTTTTTCTTCTAGCAAAAAAATAAGGGCTCTGGATTCATTAATAGGGATGATTCAGAAATTCCCATATGAGGACCCCACTTATGATAAGCTGCAAGAAGATCTGGAAAAAATCAGAGGAAAATTTAAGCAGGTTTGTAGGATTGTTTTTTTAGCACATAAATTCATTTTTGAAGATACTTAGTTTCTAAAGCCACTCCAAAATGCATTATTTGTGTGGAACAGTTATTGTTTCCCTCCTGCAGTTGTAGCAAAATACTTGAAGTGAAATAAACTTGGAAGTTGAAAATTTCCCAACCATTAACAAATGCAAAAAAAAAATTCTTTGGAAAGCAAGTTTGAAATAATTTTTGATAATTTGAATTACAAGTGGGACCAGAAGAAGAGAAATGGAGCCATTGGTAGTTTTCTTAAACATTCTTCTTGGAAAACAGACCCTTTGAAACACCTCTATGTATTCTTTTTTAGGTTTGTTCCATGCTAAATATTCAGTCTGATTTTAGAATTCGTACTGAGAGATCTTCATTAACATTTTGATTGCAACAAATGAAGATAAACATGGATGACCAAAGGAAAAAAACATTAAAAGAACAGAACTGGAAAAGTGTTTATCTTCTTTTATATTAAAAAAAATCAAAATAATGAAGAGATGGATGTTAAAGGGGAAAGAGAAAATCACTGGACTTGCAATGTTATTTAACATTTATTATGTCCAAGTTTTGTTTAATCTATTACACACACTAGTGTGTAAATCTGTTAAATAGAAATATTTGTTTTCATTCTTTGCTAGTCTTGTACTGATAATTCCTCAAAAGGAAAACAAGCATTTGCACAGTTTCCTTGTTTAAAGGATGCCTGTTACTTAAAAATCTGTGTATGCAGATCGTTCAGTCTACACAATGTGTAGATGCTGTGGGTGAAGGAAAATAAAATCAATTCCCCGCAGACTTTGCAGCAGGAAAGAATTATGTGGGCAGGGGATGGAATGATAAAGGAGGTCAGAATGCAGAGGAGAAGGATGAAGATAATCTGCTCAGAATATGGAATTTATACCTGGATTTTCCAGTAGTTTTGCAGACTGATGGAGGGAAGGGAGCAAACTCCACAAAATCTAACCCCAACAAGTTAACAATTTAAATGGTGGGTGAGATAAACATGACTGCCAGAAGAGTTGTGATTTTCATTGACTGCATTTATTAGTGCCTCTTACAGAGACCAGCTTTTTATGTGCCAGCCTTGTAAAGTGACCTCTTTAGTTTCATTTCAAATCAATGGATGCTGCCAGTTGCATGTATTTAACTGTGTCAGTAGACAGAAATACCTGGAACAGGCTTTGGCTTGGGCTGCTGGATGTCTTTGCATTCCAGTTCTGTAAGGAATTCCAGAATTCCTTTATCAGCTGTACCCTGTGTGTGTCTGCCTATGCATGCATGGCACAGTGCAGCCTCATAAAGACAGATTTGAGGTTTTTGGTTTCTTTAATTGTCTTACATGTGAATTTTGATACACACAGGCAGTGTCAGAGCCATCTAGTGGATGTGTGGGATTGTAGGAGCTCAAAAATATTTGTATAGGTGAAGTTGTTAAAATAAACAGTACAAAACATACATGCTCCTGAGAATTCTAATTATGTGGAAAATTTCTTTGAAAAGAGTAACACTGAGATAGGAATTAGTTTGTACTTGTTTCATCATTTGCAAAAATGTCTGTAAAAGCAAGGGCAGGGCTGTGAGAGCTCCAAGTAGAGCATTTGTTTAGTAGAAGTGTGTGATATGTGAGTAACAAGCCAAGGTGCTGCTCTAGAGATTGTATCAGACACAAGTATTTTTGTTCAGCTCAGGAGAGAAAGGGTCTTTTGCAATCAGATGGTGACTGTTATTTGGAAAATTGGTTTGGTGGCTAATTTTCTTGTATTGCTTTAGTTTTAATAAATAATTATTGCTTTATTTTTAATAAAATAATATAATAAATTATTATATAAATACATGTGCATATACTGAACTGTAAGTATTGCATCAACCAGGATTTCCCGCTGGGATGTACCAAGTTTAGGGTTATCTATTAGGTCTTTAATTTTTTAATTAGGTCTTTAATTAAGTTTCATATCTGTGTACACACTGATGGAATCTCTTCTTCCATGAGTCTCTATTTTTCTGACTGTCTGCTGTTTCACACCTTGTGTGGGCCTGGTTTGGTTTATTAAATGAGGCAGAGTTCAAAACTGTTGGATGTTCAGTTGTGTGCTTTCTTCAGTGCCAGTTTTTTTGTTTCCTGCAGTGAGTTGTGGGGGTTTGTGTGCCGTTCAGGGCTGTGACAGCAGAACATTCCCCGTAGGGTAGCGCACGGGTGACAAGGTGACACCACCTTCCCAAAAGCACCTCCAGGGAGGAAGGCAGCTGAGCAGGTCAGGAACACACTCACAACACACCACGGATAGCTGCTCAACGGCGGGGAGTCAGGGAGGGGCTTTGTGTGGAGCTTCAGTGGGGTTTATTGAAGCCACACACTGAAGTGGTCCAGAGACAAAGAAGGCTACACTGAGGGTACAGGAGTATATAAGGGTCCAAGGGGGTGGATCAGAGGGTCAGGGTCCAATAGGGATAGAGTGAAGTGGTGCATAAGGGGGTTAGTGAGAGGGAGAACCAATGGGGTGACAGGGGTGGAACACTGTACCAAACTGGGGCCAATGGGGAAACAGGGGAAGGGAGGCTTATATAAAAGGTAGAAAGGGGTGGGATGGCCAACAGGGTATATAGAACTGGGGTACATTAAAATGGCAGTGCAAAGAGCTATGGGGGAATGCCTTTTTCTTATTATACCTCTTTCTTTTCCATGTTATACCTCGGGGGCTTCCCTCCATGCCATCACTACCCTTGACTCTGGAGCCTCCACAATTCCCAGCATTCCGTTGAGGTGTTTTTTTATGTCTGATTTACAGCTGAGGTTTTGGGTATGCCTGATTTAAAGCCCAGGTTACATCAAGAATATTAATTTGTCTTTGTCAAAGGGTCAGGAAGATACAGAAAAATATGCAGCCTTGTACATTATGATATTGGTTATTAATAAAGAAGGACATAGAGATTGTGGCTTGGTGCTGATTGTCCAAGAAGTTTGAAATTTTGCACAAGACTTAAGACTATTATCTCTGTACTCATCCACCACTCCTAGTTATAGCTCAGTAGTTAGAAAGGAATGTTTGAAACATTTCACTCACGAATTTCTGACTTGCCTAGACTGCTTGTTTTGTCTCTTCATGATCATCTTTCAGCTGAGCCTGTGGAATATGAAATTTTATTAAACGGTGGATACACAGCTCATTATTTCTAGGCTGCTGAAGTCCAGAAGAGTTGTAATTTTCCTTTCTGCAGTGTGTGATGAGTACAAGATATAGTGAATTTTGAGGCATCAGCAGAGAGGTAAACTTTGAATACCATTTGGTTAAGTTCCCAGGTACAATTCTTCTTCTCTCATCATTAAGCAACTTCCTTTCCATGTCTTGTCAACTGTACTAAAGATGATCAATTTCAGCTTTGAATAAATATCTGTAATCAACAGAAATGGGTGAATTAAATGAGAAAAAAAAAAGAATCTGGGTGTGCAAGTGTTTGCTTCAAAACCCTGTGGAGCTACTCTGGCTCATTTGAATACTGTTTTTATGAAACAAGGTTGTGATAATTTCCATGTGAGATTAAATTTGGAGTTTTAATTTTCCAGTAAATCAGTTTCAATGTTTGTATAGGTTTTGGTTTTTGAAGAGATGCAGGACAGAGTTTGAGCCTACCATGTTTTTAGGAATGCTTATTTACACTTGGACTGGAAATACAACTTCCTGCACTGGAATAAAGAGAGATCCATCTGTTAAAAGTCTGCCTGTACCCTAATATCCCACAGTGCTTTAGAGTAAGAACTTAATATTTCTGGTAATGTTCTATTTCTTTCTATTCTTGGTGCCTTTTGAATAGCGTCCCTTTGCAACTTATGGCCATGGCTTGTGGTCTAATTGCAGCCTAAAACTTCAGCTTTCATAGTTTGGCAAGTAACCATGAAGATTCTCATTTTATAGTCTGCAAGAGTTGTTTTTTAAATGGATAAAGTTGTGACAGTACACATTCCCACAGAAATGGATATATGTTTCACAGGGAAAATGGAGATCTGGGAAGTGTGAGGGGAGTTCAGCAGGTTCCCAGTTGCAAGTTGTGTCTGGGACTGATGTGTAAAGGCCAACTGTAGCAATGCACTGCTGAAGCACTTCAGTGTGTCCCAGGGTTTGGAACTGCAGAACCAGCCTAGCCTGGGGTGATAATAAAAATAATAATAAAAACTCTGTGTGCTATTTTGAAAGCTTGCACAGTGAGTTCATTGGTAGCTAACCTGAATATCTCTTTGACGTCACACTGTGAATGCTCCTACCTTTATCACTGGAGTGTTTATTCCCTAAGTGTGATGATCAAATTTTTTCAGCATTTTTTGTGCTAGAGTTCTTTAGTACTGCTTATCAAATGCTGCACTACTGTGTGGAAGGAGATACGGTCCCTAAGCTCATCTGAAATGTAGGAGACTTCCTAAATCTGTGGAGTGTATGAAAGGTGAAAAAAAATCAGACGTTGTTCCACTTGATTCCAAAGCAGCTTGCTGCACAATGTTTTAAGTTATTTTATCCTACTCTATAGCCATTAACTAATTGAGCACTAGTGCAGTGTTTTGTGTATCTGGTTTTGGGAAGATTTCTGAATAGGAATAAGAAAGGGCGTAAAACTATTGTCTTGGAAAAATTAGCTATAGTAATTAAAATAATATAAAATATAAAATTAGCTATAGTAATTAGCTAATTAGTTCTAGTTGTATGGGATTTGTTTGGGTGATATCTGAAATAGTGTCCTCCTGTCTGAAAGAATTTAACTGATGCTTGTCCCTAATAAAACCATGTAGTCTTATTTTAGCAAAATGTTCAGTAGGAGGTTGATTATTCAGTCCCTGCATTCTGACTGTGCATCACACAGAATCAACTCCGCATTTGTCACTGTCTTCCATACCTGATTTTTAGCCCCCTATTTCACTGCTTTACCTCAACACTTTTTAACTTTTAGCATCTTCAGGATTCTGGGGAATAATCAACACTATGTGGAATCTTGATAGTAGGAACTGTGAGTCAGCAACCCTTTAATTTTTTTAGTTGCAGCCATTGTTCCAGCAGCAAGCTTTGCTCCTATTGTCCACTGTTTGTCCAGCTCACGTTTACTGGACTGTGGGAACGGATTAGGGTTTCAAGGCTTTTTTTTTCTTCTTGCATAAACTCTTGATCAAAGACATTCCTTGGATGACAAAACACTGTATATACTGTGTCACACAGCCCTGACCAGACTGCACGAACAGTAGTTTAAAAACACATGCCTACATTGTTCTCTAAACTGGCCTGCTTTTTTTTTTTTTGTTTTGCAATGTATGTGTAGACATTGAACTTTTGAGACCCTGTTTACCTCTTTAAAAAACACGCACACATACAGAAGTTACTGTTAATAAGCACTTGACAGTTTCTGAAATACAAGTGAAAAAGCTAATTACTCTGAGACTAAGAACATACAGAACAGAATGTAATTTCTAAGCAGAGCTAGGAGTTATATCTGCAGTGTATTTCCTTCCTGAGGAGACCTTGGTTGTGGGGCAGGTAGTCAGGTACACTGGAAACCCAAACCCACATGAATTATGGCATGATTTGATGTGTCATAGCCAGACCACCTGATTAGGGTAGAGAATGATTGGACCACAATTTGGGAGTTCGTTAACCTGCTTCACCATAAGTACACTGTTAGAACCACATTTTGAGAACCTGGTTTACTATAGTTTTATGTCTTGGTCTTTTAAGTTCTCTTATGCAGTAGGAGGTCAAATTTCAGAAAATTCCAGTAGCATCATTATTCCTCAGACTAATGAGAAAGAAACAAATGGTGTTAGAGAAAAGCATGGAGCTTTTCCAAGGAGCCTTGCCTTCTGATTTGCCTGAAATACTCCTACAGCAGAAACATGGGGGAAAGAGATTCCTGAGGAGGTTTACAGAGGGATTTAAAAATATGGGAGGGCTGAGTTTTGGTGGTTGGAAAGCTGTTTGTAGAGGAGAGAAACAATGTTGTACAGGCGTGAGGCTTTGCACTGTTTGACTCTGCAGCACTGTTGAGCACTGTCATGCAGAAGTGAAGGCAGTCTTCTTTCACTGACATTGAAAAATCATATCCATAAGGGAAGAACCCTTCTGATCCTTTGCAGTCCAAGGGTCTCCATGGAAAGAGAAACCCAGAAAATACGTGTCTGACAGATATGTTGCCTAAAAGGAATAAAATGGTCAGAGTGACTGACTGAAATGGCTACAGAAACACTGAGTCAAATCCACAAAATAAATGTATTACACTTAGAAGAAATAATGTTTACTTATGAGTAAATAATTCATTATGTCTTCTGGAAATTTAACAGTATACATTGGCTGAAGCTTTGCTCTTCATATGTTAAATAGCCAAATGTAAAGAACTTTGGCCTGTGGGTGTTCAAGGAGGAAAGCAAACTGTTAAAAACAACATCCATACTTGAGCAATCTGGAGTGATACAATCTAATAAAGGGGAGAAATGAAACATCAAAAAGCTCAATTGCCCATTGCAGACAGTTTGCCCTCAGAGCAGTGGCTCAGGACAGGAGGTCACTGCCTCAGGCTGGCTCAGGTGTGTTGTCATAATGCCCTGCTGGTGCTTTCATGGGCCCTTGGGAGAGGATCTGCCCCTCACAGCCCGGCTGCTTGGAGACTGCTGCTAATGTCACAAATCACATCCCAGCCATAAGCAGCAATGTGGTGGCTGTCATGGGAGACCAGGCATCTATGGAATATGGCTTGTGAGGGAATTAAGCCAAGTGTCACAGAGCTGCTGCCAGGTGGGATGGATGAAACAAAACCACTCTGCAACACAGAATCTAAAATGTATTTACTCAACAGGGAAGGGTGAGTGGGTAGCAATTTCCATTCTGTGATGCACATGATACAAGTGTGACTCAGAGCTCTAGACCTCTGCTCCCTACATGGACCCAGAGGAGGATTCCTTTTCTGGTCAGTCCACATGTTAGGTCCTGGCTTGGAGCTTGGCCCTTGCATGGCACAATTCCTCCTTTGGTTCAGCATTCCTGATGCTGGTAGAGATCTGTACCTGGAGCTCTCTCCAGCCCTAAGGGATTGCCCTCTTAGCCAGTTCTTTCATGTGTCTGTCAGCACAAGCACTCCCGGCCCATTCTCTTTTTCCACAGGTGGTGTCTTGCCCTCTTCTCCTCCTGTAGTTGAGGTCCTGCACCAAGCAGGGCCCCCACAGAGTAAAGATGCTGCCTATGTGCCTTATTCCCCATTTGCCATGGACACAGCATCCTTCTGCTAGTAATTCCTTCTTCATGAGAGAGCGCTCAGGAAAATGATGCCTGTGAATACTTGGTGCATTCCCTGAAATATGAGATGGTTTAATGCCTGGTTGTCACACAGGCAGAAAGGAGGACAGGTCTAGGTAGGGCTCTGCAGGTGCTGTAGGATCAGCAAGGAATTATTTGTTTTCATTCTTATATGTTTATCACATTTAAGATGCAAAAGAATATTTTTTGCCTTCCTCCTACATTTGGTCCTGCTTGGCCATAAAGAACAGAATCAGAGGTCTGGCAAATGTCACATTATCAGTGCAATCCCATTGACTAATTTTTAATCCCTTTCTCATCACTTGATTGGAATATGGTGAGGAACTCAGTCAGAAGCCACATGTAATCTATGCTGGCCATGCCAATGCAATTACTATGAGCAATTATATTTGTGGGATCATAAAAATACCTTATTTGTCTGAAGAGATACATTTCACATAAAATGATGCTGACAGGAATTCATTAAAATGGCATAATTTATAGCTTTACTGCCATTGTCCCAATGTAGCAATCTCAGAGTATGTAGCCCACGTGCATGGACCATTCCCGTGACTCTTAAAAACAGTTCCAACCTTCTCTCTCTTTCTCCTCTGTCTTCTAGAGTTTTCTATCACTTAAAATGCCAGCTGTACTTGAATGCAAGTGGATTATGAGTTTTTTCATTTTCTAGTTCTTGTCTATTCTTTAATAAAGAGCATTTGAATTTAAGTGTTCATAAAAGGTCCAAGATTGTCAAATGGCCTGAATGCAGCAATGGAACTGGGGAGGTTTTTGGCAGGCCTGTAGAGGTTTTTCTTCATACATGTCTCAATTTGATACAAAAATTACAGTAGTTTTCCCTTTAATAAGCTATAGCATAGCCTAGCTGAATTTGAATATTTTTTATAGCCTGTAGTAAATAGTTTTTCTTGCTACATTCTTGTCTTTCTGCCCTTTGCAATGTGAGTAATACTGGCATAGCGCACCCAACATTAAAGTTTAGGAGTCTGCATTTAGAGATGATGTTCAGAAGGAAAATGTAAATAATAGAGCTGACTATGTGGGCTTAAACCTACCTTAAGTCACAACACTTAGCTTAACAGCATTTGTTAGAGATAGGAATGGCAAAACCTACTTAACACATTCAACCAAACACAGGTTTACATTTCTCAATGAATCACTGCAATGTTTTTATCAGCACAAGATTTTTGTCAGAGGTCCACATCCCCTAAGTGTGTCTTCACTTGGTTTTCAAACACTTAAGATCAGAGAGATGAGCAATCAGCCATACAAAAGTAAGCTACTTGTTCCTTCTGGGGTCTTTGGGGTTTTTTTTAATATGCTGGGAAAAATGAATCATTTTTGGCCCAGACCAGTGTAACCTTCGGCTCGATGTGTTTTTGAAGTCCCTGTGAGTTTAGTTCAGGTCATCTTTCAGTGTTTTACACCTCCCAGGGTCACTCACTGTACAGAAGAGCTGCCCATTTCAAATGGAACAAACCACACCCCCTTTGTACTGGTTTTACTTCACCCACCTGATCTGGGATTTTACAGTAGGCCACACAGGCTTCAGGTTTCTGGCTGAAATGACTGGGAAACCACTGAGCTCATACGAGCTCATCTGGGATTCTTCTGATGCAGGTGGTTTCCCATCTAGTGGTAACTGCCCTGAAAGGGGCTTATTCTGCACTAGACAATGATTAGCACGTTAGAAGTTAGCTCTGGAGTTTCATTTTTCATTTCCTGTACTGCTCTCGCTGCACAGAATCAGTTGTAACATGAAGTTTAGTCAGTGGGAAACTCAGAAGGCAGATACTGAATTTCTAATTTGTGACAGGGAGGACAAGCACTTGGCCTTTTATGTAATTATTTTAAAGCAGAAATAATTTCACAGGATAAATTACTTTGGCATGTGTATTGGAACACAGGCTATATTTTTTTTTTCATTTTACTTTGTAATAATATATAATTCTTGCCCCAGGTTCACTTCTTTCTTTACATACTTTAAGTAGGCTTTAATGTTTTTCAGGTTTATTCCTTATTATCTTAGCTGTAAAAGCTGTGTCTGAGGGAAAGACACAAAAACTTCCACTGATGAGAAAGTACCAGCAAGCATTCTGTGCTATCCAACATATACTATGTTTTACCCTTTATTCACATGAACCACCAAAGGTCATTTTACTCTGACTAATTTCCTTTGATCTTAAAAAATAAAGTCTTCAGGCAGGAAAAAAATATTTTTCTTCTTTACAAAGACACGTTGGTGTGACAGGCAGACCGTTACCTACCCACAGCTCAAAACACCCACAGTTTCCTAAAATAACAGCAAGAGGTCTTCAGCTTTTAAAATGTGGAGAGTCAAACCTAGAAAATGTCATGTGCTTTATTCACAGCACCGGGGAGTTGCAACCATTCAGCATTTTCAAGGCAATAAAAAAAAAAAAAAAAGTAAATTAAAAGACGACAACAGTTGGGTTTTACCAATTTTATTTCTAGACTTTAGATTTTTTTGCTGGAAACTTGTCTGTTACAGGTCTGTTGGTGAAAATGTGCATTTCAGACCAGTGATGACAATAAGTACAATTAAAAATGTACAAATCTGAATTGCTTTTGCTTACTACAGATTGTTATAATAACGTGACAAATAAAGCATCTCTGTTGGCACATGAACCCACTTATCTGGATTTGGCCTTTTTCAGTACATACAATATTTTAAAGAAATTTGCAGTACACACTGCCACTCAGTGTAACACATAATAAAACCAACAAGCACTACACTCAATAATCATGTTTGGTTCAGAGACACAGAGATGCCACGAACAGAAGTGTTTTATGAGGTAAGCAGTAAGAAATGTTCCTGAAATTTGGACAGAATGTATCCAGTCCTCCTGGGTCCTGCGACTGCTAGTAGCATTGCAATGCTTATTTATGAACTATGTAGGATCTCAACTGCATTTGCCTCAAAATGAGTTTTAATTCTGTTTTGGTTTAGCAGCATACAGGCAACAGCTAGATTATTCTTCAGCATACAACTCTGTTAGCTGGCTTATTTATGAGATTTACAGGCTTTTTTTAAATTAGCATTATGCTATAATTAAACAAAAAAAAAACCAAAACAAACAAAAAACCCTAGTATATCATAACAGATTAAACACACAAAATACTTAGAGTTCCAGAAGATAACCTATCATACCAAATGATGTGTCCCAGCTGAGGGAGAACCACATCAGGTGGCACACAAGAGTTATATTATAATGCACCTTTCATATATCAATGTGGCTAATAACACAGCTTAAAACTACTATGATAATAAACCCCAGATCAGACAAAGAATCCAGCTTTATAAAATGCATAATAAAAAAAAAAAACAAAACCACAAAAAAAACCAAAAACAAAAAACAACCAACGCTTGACATTACTTGATCTTCTGAAATGTCTGCTGGTTTTTAAATTAATGCAGAGACCCATTCAGAGCAATGTTCGATGCATTTCCATTTGCAGTAGAACTATGAGGCACTGTAAGAACATCAAAACCTGGTCTAGACACGGGTAACTGAAGTATGAGGTATTGTGAAACAGGAACCTTTTTTGGAATAGAGCAGTAATCACATTAAGTAAAAATTGATCACATAAAAAAATCTACAAAAAAAATGATGTCAATAATATAATTTTCTATGAGAAAATTAAAACCTATTACATGGCAGTATATGACATTGTATAACAAAAAAAAAAAACAAAAAACTGATCCACAAAATAGCAGCAAAACACAATGACAAAGATACAGAAAAGCAATGTTAATTTTTTTTCAAACCATGCTGGGAATTTATCCATAGCAGCTCAATAAAAATGGAGCATCCACTCCTTTTCTTTTATCTTTTTCTTTTTTTTTATCTTTTGATTTTTTATCTTTTTTCTTTTTTTTGTTCTTTTATTTGTTATTGTTTTTTTTTTTACAATCAACACCTTAGTGGCAGTTTTCTCACATACATTTCACCATCATATTCTCCTCGAGCATCAACTTCAACAGCTATGTCCACGTCCCTTCAGCTACTTTCTAAAATAATAATAAAAAGATACATAGCCAAGATGTGCAAATTTTCTATTTGTAGCTAAATAAAAAAAAAAAACAAAAATGGGGCATATGCTGGAATAAAAACTTCTTTCAAGTACTCCAATTTTCATATCTATTAACTATGGCGTTTTTTCATGGTTAGACTGCTTTTGTAAATGTATAGGAAGGGGCCAAATAGACTGCTTGGTTTTGGGTTTGTTCTTTGAAGCGTGTCCTTTTTTTGCTTTAATAAGCTGGGTTAAAACTGCAACATCAAGGGTAGAAAGATTTTCTTTTTCAAAAGGGGCGATTGCATTAATTTACAAATGATACTGGCCTTACGAACATCCTCTGCAATAAATATTCTTTTTAGCCTTAACTATAAATTATATATTTTAGTGTTTAAAAACCTTCAGTTGTAAAAACATCTAGCGATAATCCTTAAAACTATGTGTCCTATATGTGAACCTTTAAGGCCCCTAATTTATAAAGATGAGTTGGCACCAAAGGATTCTAAACTTCAAACTTTTCTATAGAAAAGGAAAGGAAGATATCCTGGCAATTTGTGAATGCAATTTTCTCTCACTGGAACACAACCTTCGGAAAAAAAGAATCACCTCTCCTCTAACACCATAGTTAAATGCACTTGCTTTGCAATTCCAAGTTTGCCAACAAGCACTTAATATATTTCCAAACCATTCCATTAAAAAAACAAACAAACAAACAAAAAAAAAAAACCTCCCACACAATAAAAGAATGTATTTCCTATATCTAATGGACTGAAAGTGCTTTGAATGGAATGGTTTTAGAATATTACAAACGAACAAAAAAAAAAAAAAAAGACTGAACTGTGGATTGAACCTGACCATAATTAGGCTGAATATCTGTGGGGTCAGACCAGCATTTTTACACAGGTAACTACAAAAATAGGAAGATTACAAAAATATAATATATTATGTCACTATTTCGGTTTCTCTTTATAATAGGGTCCTGTATGAGTAGTACATTGGCCTTTCCCAACCACACTAAGCTGGAACCCTACAAATGCCTCAATGCACAGGCAATCCACAGGCACAACAACAAAAAAAAAAAGATTAACATATAATAATGCTGCATACTAACATACACTAACTTATGGGTTACGTTAACCATTTATAAGGTGAAGAGGATAAAAAAAACCCTAAGGAAGTAAAATAAACATTTACAGATGAATTATAAAGTGACTAAATGCATAAGCAAGCAAGATATAGAAAAGCCTAGAACTGCGTTAAAGCTATGCTTTTTAAAGAAAAAGAATATTTCATTTACTAGCTAAAAAAAAAAAAACAAAACAAAACCCTCTTCTACTTTAAAAATGGTTGGTTGGTTTGTTTTATATGTAAGAAATCAAATCTAATACCTCCCCTGGAGACATTTCGTGTGTTAATGCCTATTTTTACAACATACAGACAAGAACACTTTAATATAAAACTAGTTGATTATTATTGTATAAAATCCTCTATTTTTGTAGCACAAACCCCTGGGGGTAATGCAAATACTATTTTTTTTTCTATTTTTAAGACAGTTTTTGGGGTATTTTTTGTTTATTTGTTTGTTTGAAGTCACAGATGGAAGGGAGAGCAAGAAAAAAATATAACAAGACTGGTTTTCCCTTCTGGTATAAAAATGTCCTGGAGAAAAGGGTTTCTGGGGGGGAGATCCTGATGCCGATTCCTTCTCAGATGCCCTTTCTTTGTCTGCTTTTCTTGCCAAGCAAATCCATGTAAGAAGAAGTCCTCTTTAAATGTTCACGTCTCGCACATCAGTAGGTGTGCAGGAGAGGTCTGCTTCGTCCTCTACAGTCTTTGTTTCTGAAGATACATTGTGCTGCTGTGCCTGGCGTAGACTGGACTCGAGGAGGGACTCAATCTGTTCTTGGCAGGCTCGTAAACAATCCTGCAGAAGGGTGCAATGGAAGGGGGGAGAGAGACCCAAGAGTCCTTTAGAAATATCATAGGCTAAAATACCAGTTTCTTGACAGAGCAAGAGAAACATTATCAGGTTATCTGGGAGAGCAGAAGGCTGGAAAGGAGGGTGGGAAGAGCAGGAGAAGCACCCGACAGTGAAAGGAGTGGATGAGCAAGCTTGTTTTTCTGCAGATTGTACCTTGCACTGCTGCTTCTCTGCCTGTGCTGTTTACAGTTCTGTACAAGCCCATTGCTCACAACTGTGATTTCTACTTTTACTCCAGGACTCCTTCAGCAGTAGAGTCTGCTAGAAGTGATGCTCACAAACAGTAACATTTTTTCCCCAGGCTAAATTCCAGTAACAGGAAGTTCTTAGAAATGCCATACATATGTTGAGATGCCCATGCCCTAAGCTGTCTGCCAGCTGCTGCAATGTCCAGCTGTGGGCAGCTGATAAATTCCTAACCCTCAAAGCATCTCCAGAGATGGATTGAACAGGACAGTACAACCCCAAAATGGAGAGGTCCCTCAGAAGCACCACGAAGCACCTCCCTAACCATGCACTACCAAGTCCATCCAAGCTTTCCGTGTGCTACCACATCCCCCTGGAAATCTCAGTCAGGGTGAGAAGTTTTTCTCTCACTTCCAAAGTGTTTTCTCCAAGCCGGATGTGCACACAATTCTCCTGGGGGTTCAGGAGGGTGCACAGGGAATTAGAAAGCCATAAAGAACTAAGAAAGATCCTGTCTCTGGTGGGGAAAGGCAACTTCCCCCAGGCATTGTGCCATACCATGAGGAGATATATCAGATTCCCAGCAACCAGAAGGCCTTTTAGCTCAACCTGCACAACTTCCTGCAGGGTGTAGAGGTCTGTACACCCACTGCAGTGGCACAGAAATGGTGCCCTAAATAGGCCAAACAACCCCACAGCATTTTGCCAAAACTCATCCAGCATGCTGTTTACCCTTATCTTTATAACAAACATTGTAAGCTTTCCCCCCCAACATCTTTAACTCCGTGTATTAAGGACTTTGAAGTTTCCTTTCAGCATTGCCTTTTCTGATTTAACCTATGACATGTGTTAGCCCTTGCGGTGAACCCAGTCTTCCATGATAAATTGCCGTCAAAAGTGTTAGGATGTGCATGACTGAGAATGAATGTTGTTTTCCTGAGAGGGTGACCTGCCTGCTGTTTTCTTTATTTCCCAGTTTCAATTCTGCCTTCATTCAGAGGCTTCTTGTGTGATCTACCAGCTTTTCACTGATTCCACTACCACAAGAATCTCCTCTGCCACCAATAAGGGCACATGGCATTTGGGGTAAAATAAGATTAGAAATCCAAGCAAACAATTCTCTGCAAGTCCTTTCTGAGAGAGAGGGAGGTTAATCCTACCTCTAAGCAGATCAGACCATCAGTTACAGCTCACTGAAAACACATAACCTATGACCTTTCCTGGTTTAAACCCTAGTGTAATATTTCCTCTTGACAGAGACACATAGTGTTTTAAATGACAAAAAGAAACACCTCATATCCTAAAGTCATCATGCCTTTGGCTCCTGCATACCTCTCGCTTCCACAAAAAGGTCTCTGTGAAGTCCCTGCACCCAGCCCTCCTCCAGATATAACAGATCAATCCTGACTGTAAGGCTCCCTCTTGTACCACGAACCTCCCTCGCCCTTCAAGTCAGACACATTAAAGAGGAGCACACCAACACAGTTTTAGGTGTTCCTGGCTTTACAAAGCCACTTCGGAGGATAATTCTCTTTTAGCACGTTTAGTGTTCCAAACTGAAAGCGTTTTCTTTTTCAGAGCAAAATTAATCCTCTTGGGTTTTGTTTTGGGGTTTTGTTTTCAGGTAAGACTGGATTTTATGGTGAATTTTGATGGGAACTTTGTGGGGTTTTTCTCTAGTCCTGACCATTTGCATATAGTGTGTTTGAGCTCTGAAAACTAAAACCATTCAAAAGAATTTCTCTATATACCTATTCTTCTCCCTCTGGAGTCCAGTTTTGAATTATTACATAGGACTATGTAATTTAGAGGTACTTTTTGCCCACATATTTTTTTTCATTTAAAATTCTCAGAGTGCAGCTTGCTGTAACTTTTTTTAAAAACAATTTTTACAATTTATTATGAATAATGTCTTAAGCTACAGTTGAATGAAAAGATTTTTTTTACTCTTTAACATATTTTGTCCATGTCTTATTCAACCTATTAGATAAATAGTTTGCCTGTAGGAATGTGTTAAGAGTTAGCAAAAAACAGCTGCTAAACATAAAATTCACTGTGAACAACCTCACCAAAGCTTTTTTCATTCTCAGTACTTCCCAACACTGAAAAGCAAATAAAAAACTTGTGCATTATTCTGATAACTTCTCCCAACAACTTTTCTGCTTCACTACCCAAATTTTCAATGCCCACAAGTTTGTTCAAGGTCATAAACCCTTCCTGGATTAATTAAGCTCCTCAGTGAAAAAAAAAAAAAAAAAGAAAAAAAAAGAAAGTAAGAAAAAGAAAAAAATACTTGCTAGCTTAACTGATGTGGTCAAATACTTTTAAGATCAGACTCCAGGGTCAGATAGGAAAGGAAACAAACAACAACAAAAAAGGAACTGCTTGGAAATCCTTTGTTCCTGCCTGACCTGTTCTGGATAACAAGCACATGTTTGAAGGTGCCTCTGAGAAGTGGCAGGCAGGAGGCGAATTCCAATGCACTAACAGACAGCATGGAGACCCAATCTAATCTAGTTTAGCAAATTTCTGGCCTGGAAATGAATGTCAGGTAAAATTCCATCTGTTTGAATGATGGGGTCAAGAATAGAATGATGGAAGACAGCCCAAGACTTCTAATTGTGATTATCTGATTTCTAATTACCCCTGACCAAAGGCAAAATGGGAAATTGGACTCCTACCAACATATAAACATGAACCATGAAGGAATTCCAATCAGGTGATATTAATTTTATTTTAGATTCAGCTTTCTTTGAGACTAAAGGTAAAAAAGTGTAATTATGGAACCTGAAAACCAACAGATCTGCTGCTCCAGCATCAGGGGGAATACCAGCCCTGCTCTTAACATTCCAAGACTATCCAGTATATATCCAGTATTTATATCCAATATAAACATGCTCCCTAACAGAGGGAACCATCACTGGAGCATAACACTCTTCATACAAATCCCTGTGAAATGGGATAGCAGGAATGGCATTTGATACCATGGGTTATACAGATAGGTATTTTGGGAAAGTCTCCCTGCAGGGCAATCATGCTGTGTAGGAAACGGAGCAGATTCCTCTCTCAAAACAACTGCAGCAGAAGTTGCTGTTCCCCTATTCCACTCCAAACACAACAATATACCTGTACATACACAGAACTTTACAGATTGCTAATTTTCTGTAGCAATCCATTCAAAATCCTTATTTCTACCTGACTCATGAATATATTTAGCACTGGAAGCTGGAGGGGAGTCACTCCCTTTTCAAATTGTTAACTAAGCCCAGGTTAAACACTGAAAATCACCCAGGCCTTGAAATCACTCAGGACAATTAAAATGAAATAAACAAAAATCCTCTTTTTTGCTAAAGCAACTTTTTCAAGAGCTCTGTCATCAACTAATTCAAGTTACATAAGGACAGGCCTTTCTGCACAGTGTGAGAGAATCCACTTTAGTGCCTGGTATGAGGAATGGTTAAATCACCTTGTTTGAATCAAGATGCTGCCTGAACAGATAGCAAGTATTTTCCCTCAGTACCTGCTTCAAACATCCCAGCCTGGACAGTGGCCAAACACACACTGGAATTATCTGCATTGTTCATAAACTGACAAAAAGCATCACATGTGCATACCAAACTGAGCAGCCCATTATTTCAGCATTTCTTAGAGTATTCAGCATTTCAGGTTCTTAGAGAATGTAACACTTCCACACTGTATTACCTCAGCTGCAGTGACATAAGTGGCAAAAATAACATGCTCAATACTGAGGTACTGTTCAGCTGATCAAAATAACACGGTGAGATACCACATTTTTCAGCAATTGTTTCACACAGTCTATCAAAAGTAAAATATTATTTTGCAAATAATTAATTGCAATGCATTCATCTTTCCAGAAATCGCTCAATCCTCTCAACAAAGCCCAATTACACAAATCCAGTTTTGGACTGGGACAGTTTTCTATGCATTTAAATTATTAACTTGTAAAATAATTTAACGGCATCTCCAAGATTCTGCACCCTAACCACAGAGTTGTCTTTATTTGACTCATTGTCCAGCGCTTGGAGACCTCACAAGAACCTTTTTAAAGCATCTATTTATTGGTCTCCCACATTGTTACAAAACAAAGCTCAACTCTGCCCCAACTTCACACACCATTATGACATGGATCATTGACTTTAGGTCTTCCTTGTAGGCTCCCTTCCTGGCCCATTCACTTATGAAAGGTTTATTGCCCACTAGTTACTGATGTGCATCTCCTGGAAGCTGCAGGGCAAAATGAAGAGTCCTATGAGGACCATCTACCTTGTCAGAAAGTAGTGGGACAAGCATTTGTTCCAAAAAGGAATTCAATACCAGCTACGGTGCTGGTCTAGCACATAATAAACCAAATTAGATCATTAGAACTCTTTCAAGAAGAGCTTTTTCACACCACTTGGCACAATAAAAGGCCTCAAGAATGGTCAAAGATAAGGTCAGAGATACCAGGAGGTCTCAGTAACTGTTTTCGGGTCTTATTCCCCAAGTTTCACTTTAGCGGGGCTCCTGGTTTAATTATTCCCAGCCAAACACAGCCTCTGCCACATCCTAAAGCAGTGCAGGGCTTCCTCCTCTCCCAAACACCAGAGCTGGGTGTGCCTTTCCCATCCAGGAACTGCAGCAGCATCATCACAGATTATCAGTGGGCATCACGACAGCCAAACAAGCAGGCTGTGCACAAGAGAACACATTGAGAACCCCCACTCTGAGGCTTGACCTTTCCCAAGATTTACTGTCAGATTAGCTCCCATGCAGTAAGCAGGCATTCATTCTTAAAACCCCTTAATGCAGGAGATCAACCGAGAGAAAGAGTCACTTACCGGATCACATTTGATAACTTGTGATAGGAAATGTGTGAGGCATTGATAGGAGAGGAAAGTGTTAGTGTTCCCCAGATGCAGGCCTTGCACAGCTGCTACCACACTGCCAGCTGCGATCATGGAAGGTGGGTTTGAAATAAATTTAATATCTGTATGAAGAAAGGAGAGAAAAAAAAAAAAAAAGGAAAAAAAAAAAAAAGACTGAAATGATTGCTTTAGGAGAAGCCTGTCCATACCCATACACTCTTTGTACAAGCATGGCTTTCAGCTGCCAACTATTGCATCCAAAAAGGCAGGGAAAATGGTGAGCAGAAAGGTGTCTCCTGCTCTAAAACTCTTACAGGTCCAAACCTGCAAACACTTATCCACATGAGCAACTGCTCTGCAGAGAGTGGCCCTTCCTAGCACTGGGCCTGGGAGGCCATTCATCACTTTGAGGTACTTTTATCATAAGCAGGGCCCCCATTCTTCCAGTGTTAAAATATTTTGCTCCTGTGAATAATTCCGTGGGGGTCAATGGCATTGCACATCTGAGAAAACCTGTTCACATCCTGCAGTGTTTTGCATGGTCAGATCCAAGGTGCATTCTAATGATGAGTCCTGGGGCCCTTTAAAGCAGAAACCTTTGCTCTGACACTCAAAGGAATATTGCTTTAATGAACAACATCAACAAAAAGAAAGAAAAGAGAAAGAATGCTTAACCCTGTCAGGAGGCAGATAATCCATATTTAAATTAAGGTTTCATCTTAAAAATGCTTTGTCTCAACCTAGTCTCTTGTCAGTGGCTGCCATCCATCCTGGCAACAGGGATTTAATGTAAATGTGGCATAACTAAGTGACGGGGGTCCCAAGAATTGGCGGACAATCAGTTACATTCTGATGTGACACCATGCTGACAAGAGGCTGGGCCCCCTTCCAGACTGCATTGCTGTAGGTCTCTCCACAAAGCCACTCCCAGGATCCCTTAAGGGGCTATCTCTGCCATTTAGCATGTTTTTCCTTTGGGTTTGTTTGGTTTGGTTTGAGTTTTTCTAATTTTTTTTTAATAATAATAGTCGAGATTTTAATGATAAGATTCTTTTGTACTGAACAGGAATGCATTTGATCTGTGGCAGTGAGCACCTTGGAGGAGAATCAGGAACAAAGATAGTAAGTGGCACAAGTCAAGGTCCAATTTTGTGAGGGAGAAAGGAAAATGCCACAATGTACACCAGAACCTGAGATACATTACTTCAGCTTTTATCAGAATAAAACTTCCTCTAGGTTGGAAAAATATAAACCATCTGTCAAACCCCTGAATGAAGTCAAAGGAATGGACAGCTTAGAGGGCTCAGTGGAACAATTTAAGTATTAAATCATGCATCTCCTTTATTATGATAAAATAACTTTTGTGTAAATGTTTTACCAGTGGAACTAAAGCCTTCAGGACTCTGTGGAAGTCCTGGCTCTGAATCTGTTTATTCAGACACTTCTGACACTCCACTGTGGCCCTGACCAACACCCACCTTCAAAGGGGCACTTCACCCAGCATCCTACAAACCTCCAAAATTAAACTGATACACAAAATTCTGGCCAAGCTTTAATGATGCACTGCCAGCGAAAAGGCAAACTCGAGCTAAAGTAATTTCATTTATGTTAAAATAAACATATCAAAAGAAATTTGGTTTTCCCCCTTTTCCTAACCTGCCCGTTTCCAGGCAGACATAAACACACGCATCTTCTAGCAAGCTGCTGTCGTTCCCAAAACAGAAAAAGCAGCAGTTCAGACTGCTTATTGGCACTGTACCCGTTCCAAAGCCAGTCCTGAACTAAAATACTGACACAGAGCTGCAGGTGGACTTGGGAAACGGGGGATTCCCAGCATGGATCCCACCAGGATGGGGTTGCTCAGAGGGGTAGGGTGGCAGTGCCTTTCCGACACTGTTTACAGAGCTCCACAAACAGGACATGACCAAAATGTGTCACTTTAATGAGCCCGTCCTGACAGGATCACGTTTGGGATTAATATTTGTGTTCTTCTTTTAAATGGAGCAGTAAACAAGAACATGAATTCATAGTCACACCCTCATTCTTTCCAAGGTGGAAAAGTGATAATGAAGTTTAAATGACCAGTTTGTGTCTGTCCCTATAACCACTCCAGACAAGCAGCATGGACTGCCTTTTTGTTGCAACTCAACAAGGAATTATTTGTGGCAGAGGCCACTAATTTCAGCATATTAATCAGGGGGCCCCTCTAGCCTGTAATTGGATGCCCCCAAGTGAAGAGTGTGGCATCATTGTCAGCCTCCATCGCCTCATCTTGCGCTATTGAGCGCTCAGGAACAAGGGGGCTTCGGTGAGATGAATTAGACCTGACACAGCCACAATGGGGTAGGGGGCCCCATCAATTGAAGCACACATCCCCAGTAGCCTATCTGAGACTTCATCCAAAAAGAATAAACAACTTCAGCGTTGTTAAAAAGAGAGAGAGGGAGAGAGAGAGGAGGGGGAGGAGAGAGAAGAATGCCAGCCACCCTGAAGGGAGGACAAAGCAGGCATATAGGCGCTGCAGCGCTTTAAAAAAAATTCCTAACAAGGCGAGTCACCCCTTTTCCTTTTTAAATGGAGCAGCAATTCCATCCGTCTGGAGAGCTGGGGGCTATGAATGAAAATCTTTTCATTGAGGCAAATCAAAACTGTGAACATAAATCACTTGCTGCAAGATGCAACAGGTTCCAACTGGTCACATACCTTGAGACTTCCAATTTTATAAAGGCTGGAGAATGGGAGAATTGTAACACACTCTTTTCAAAGGGGGGATCTTTCTTTCTCCTTTGGAGAGGACCAAAGCAACAACAATAATAACAGTAGTAGTAATAATAATAATAATAATAATAATAATAATAATAATAATAATAATATATAGGAAGGAGCCTGGTATGTTTTGATAACCAGAGAAACATAATGAAATGCTGAAGCTCCAATATTTGTTGCTATTCATTGTTATGCTTGTATAGAGCTGCAGTTCTCCCTCAACACTGGTCTTAACTTGGGCCAAAAGAGGCCTGCTTCCTTTTGAGCTCTCCCTGCCTTGCTCAGCCATGCCAGAGCCCCATTCATTAAGCTCAATTATGTGTTAACTTCAAAAAACCCCGGTAATTTTTTTTTCTTTCTTTTTTTTTTTTCTTTCTTTTTTTTTTTTTTTTTTTTTTTTTTTTTTTTTTTTTTTTTTTTTTTCTGCTTTTTCTCCTGAACCTACCACAGCACAAAGGCATCCTTTGGTGAAAATGGATTTTTCAAAACCAAACCAAATCAAACAAACCCATTTCTACTTCTACTAGCCAGACAACTGGAGAAGGAGCTTAGGAGGAATTCCCCTCAACTTCACCTTGCAGTGTAATCTTCTTTTTCTGGAGCAAACACATACACACTCACCTACAAACACTTCCACAGCCTTCACCTTGGTAAGCCAACTGGCCAAGGGTTTGTTTCCTAAGCAAGCACTATTTTGCAGTCTCTTCCTATGAGAACCTCCTTTACAGAAGAGGACACAGGCAAAGGAGAGACTGCACTTGCCCCTGAGGCCACTTGAGTGAGCTGTCAGTGTTTCCAGTGGACTTTGGATCAGGCCCCACAGCATCCAGGCAGCACAAGGCATTTGCAGTCCATCTAGGTTCATTTTGGCAAGGGGAAATGCAGCACAACCCAGCAACAGCAAAGCAAAGTCCAGATGCTGCTTAAGCCACATGTGATCTTCACTAGCCAACAAAAGAAGTCATGAGAAAAGCGAAAGGTAGAGAAACCCCTGACATCCAAAAATAACAATAAAAACACAGAGCCTAGTGGCAGCCTTCCTGAGCGCTTTATATTCCCCAGGCAATATTCCCAACTTCAGTAGGGAGCTGAAGAGGGCCTCAACTCTGGTGAGCTCAGCGCTGTTTTTTTTATAAGCTAAGTAAAACTCCCAGAACATGGTTCTCATTTACTGATCCATTCTCCAGCTGTGGTGTGTAGTAGTGTTAAATAAAGGCTCTGGATGTGCTTCCTAAAAGAAACATAACAACATCGACAGTAGATCAAAGTACTGGACTCTTAGCAAGTCTCCAACCTTTGAACTACTCTTGTTTTCATCCCTGTCATTGCCAACACAACAACCTAGGTTAAACATCCCCACATCCAAAGGGGAGCCCGGGTGGCCGTCCTTTTTAGCTTCAAACTTAGCAAATCGTGCCTCCAGAGTTGCAGCAGCCTCGTAGCTGGTAGAACCTGGCGTGGAGGGACACAGTGGACTTTCCCAAAATGTTGCTGCCGGTGGTTTGAAGCTTGTGGCGTTCCCAGCACCGAGCATTACTCCAGGCAACCTCACCTATGAGCTGCCCCTCATGCTGATGTTAGGCCCAAGATGAAGAGCAATGCCAGTGTTTATAAACTTCTCTTTTATGGCTTGGTTGTTCTATCTTTAGGCCTTGCCGTGGGGCCGGTTCTGTGAAATAAAACTTTTTTTTTTTTTTTTTTCCTTCTGAGTGCGTGCCATCTTCCTTCAAATTTTATACCAAATCCAACCTCTGGAAAACAAGCTACACGGCATTAACGGGTGCTACCGGCCCCGCACATCCCACCGAAGTTTTGGAGCGTGGATACCACGACTCTTTGGCATCTTTGGAGGCCGGCCCTGCTCATGGCTCCAGCACAGCACGTGGTCAGGAGGGTGCAGATGGCAGCGGCTAGGTCCTGTGCCAGGAAAAGCCTCTGTGCCGCGTGGCGCGCCTCCAATCCACCAGACACTGAGGAGGGGGCCAAGAGGCAACTTGAAGAGGGAAGGTTTAAAACCCCACGCAGTGCTATTCACAGGGAAAATCTCCCTCCACCTTTAAAAACTTGTCCTAAAGAATGAATCCACACGGGGAGGGGTTCCCAGCATGGGCAGTAAGCCTTTTGCAGCCCCCACATAAACCCGGTGTGAGGAGGGGAGGAAATGGTGCCACACTGAGCTACGGGCGGGGGAGGTGGGGGGATTGTCCCTCTCCCTCCCTGACAACCACACACAACTCCGACTCAGAAGCGAAATATCTTCTGAAAAGAAAAACTTACCTCTGGCAAAGTAATCCACCTTCTGCAAACAAGGGGCAATAATCGGGGCTTAAACTACCTCCCCGCAGCTCTGCGAGCGCGCCTGAGACCAACAGCTACGGGAAGCTTTACAAGCCGGGGGGTGGGCGCGTGTCGGGGAGCAACGCGCTTTGCGCAACGTGCAGGGCTCATACCTGTAGCGCACAGAGCCACAAAAGTCTGAGCATGTTTACGGATGATCTGCTTGGTGTCCTCTGCCAGAGGCATTTTAGTAAGGAAATGTTCAATGAAATCGTGGGGGGTCATTGCAGCCAGATTCCATTTCAGCTTATTCACCAGCAGCAGCTCCATTTGCTGCAAAGAGAAGAGGGAGGGGAAGGGGGAAGGAGAGGAAGAGGGGGGAGCGTAGTTAGAGCCGCTCGCACACGGTGCCGGGGGCGCAGCGCTNCCGCTGCCGGCGATGCCGGGGCCGGCCGCCACTTTCTCATGATGTCATCTCACCTCCGCCGCTGCGCGCCGCCGCCGCCCGGCCCCGCCGCGGGAGCGCGCATTCCTGGCGTGCCGGTACCCGCCGTAATGTCGCGAACAGCGGTGGAGAGGGGGCGCGGAAGAGAACACCTCCCCCCCAAAAACCCACTCCTGGGCCGGACTCCTCTGGACGAGAAAGAGAAGGAACTGCTGGAGAGAGTCCGGCGAACGATGACGGATGTGGAGCAGCCCTCCTGTGAGGAGAGGCTGAGGGAGCTGGGGCTAGTCTGGGGAAGGCTGCGAGGGCATCTCGTCAATGCCTATAAAAATCTCCAAGGGGTGCCAAGGGGAAGGTGCCAGACTCTTCCTTCAGTGGTGCCCAGCAGCAGGATGAGGAGCAATGGCGGTACACACAAAACACAAGAGGTTTCACCCTGACGGGAGGAAGAACTCCTGTCCATTGAGGGTGGCAGGGCTCTGGAACAGCTGCCCAGGGAGGGCGTGGGGTCTCCCTCTCTGGAGACGTTCCAAACGCACCTGGAGGCGTTCCCGTGTCACCCGCGGTGCCCAACAGCCCAGTGCAGCCGTGGGCGGCCCGTGAAGTGAGGAATGTCTTGGAGCAAAGCTCAGAGAGGGTTTCTGTAGGGGAACCTACAGCTGGGGAGAGGCAGGAGTCCGGGTGGGAGGGAAGGTAGGGATGGCTGCGGTGTCCCGAGATGAGGAGGTGTCAGTGATGGGACCTAACAGGCAGGGACAGACCCAGAGCTAATGGGATTTAGCCCAGATTTGTTCTGGGGGTAAGAAAAAGCAAAAGGCCTAAGTGCAGAGGGGAAAAAAAAAAAAAAGGAGGGAGCAAGGTTTTGTTTCTTTCGCCACGAGGGAAACCTCCTGTTAGGCCATGCCAGAAATGAGCCAGCGGAGGGAGAGGCAGCAGAGAAAGCCTGGCAGACAGTAACAAGGTGAAGAAACAATGTATTTGAGCACCAGCATCCTCAAAGTGAATGTACTTTAGTGGAGAACATTTTGATTTTATAACCAGCAGCTACAGTTTCTGTTTTGCTCACTGGCAGTATGTTTTGGTTCTGTATCAGCATGAAAATGGCCAGCACAGACACTGGGGTTTGATATGGATACGCAAGGTAAAAAAAAGCACATCTTGGCCACATAGAGCATTTACACTTGCTTTACAAAGTAAAGAAATATTTTCTCTATTCCCCAAACTGGCACTTGCTCTAGTAGCATGGCAAGGCTTCTCAAAGGCACATAATAAATACCATTGGAAATTTGTTGTTGAATTGCTTATTCAGAAGGTTTTGTAGTATAATACTATTATTTTTCTTTAAAAAATGAAAACCACAACAAACAAACAAAAAACCTGCCAAAAATCCCAAACAAACAAAACAAAAAACCTAACAAAAACAAACAAAAAACCACAGGGAGATGCTTTGTAGCAATTTTAGGCATAATTCCCCCGTAAGTAAGAGCAAATCAGTATGGATCACATATGCTGCAGAAATGCTCTCTCAGAAAGGATGGTTTCTCATTCTTCCTGTTGAGTTAAAGTGAGGTGGTGTTGTTGGGAAGACGCTGGGAGCTCGTTGCTGTGGTCACCTGCAAGATGTTTGCATCCCTCAGACCGTTCTGAGATCCTCAACCACACTGCTCCTTGGTTGTGGATTGGCACCTCCCTGAAGGACAAGTATGCATTCTTTCAAGCTTTAGTAAAAATAATTTGGCTCGGAATCAAGTCTAAAACACTTGATTATAGTTTTGACCTGAAGCATAGATGACAAAATGATAAATTTGCAAAACTCAGGCATTTTTCAGAGCACGTGAATTCAATGGGAGTAATACCACCATCTTCAAAGGGAGCAGGACTGAACCCGTAATGTATAGCACTAATGACTACAATCAAATAAACTCACTTTGCCTGGGCTTTCTACCACCATTAGCCTCATGCATGTGTGCCTGTGCACTTTTATGTTTGTTCCAGAGGAATGGATTCGGGGTGCTGCTACCTTAAATCTGTGGCACCCGTGCTAAATCGATGACAATATAAATAATGATTCAGGGTGACAAGATCTGGGGAATCTGGTCCACTTGCTTCCAGAAATCAGTAAAGGAAGTGAAAAACTGAGAACCTTGAGAGGTGAGATTATAGTGCTAATGAAGCCTTCAGAAATATTTATACTTAATTTGAGCTGTTTGTGGCAGCTGGTATTTTCTTATTTACTTGAGGTACAGCCCAGTTTGGTTAAAAATGAGAATGGAATACCATATATTTGGGGAAAAATATAATCTTAGAATTGCATCTTTGTTTCCTATTTATTTTATATTCTTTTTGCTGTGTCTGGAACACTACACAGTAGCTGCTTTGTCCCCTCTGGTTGGTTCTTAACCTGGCTCACTCTCCACGGAGTTACAGAAGAGGATGCAAGGTATGATAATAACCCCCTGTTTAAGTCAAGTGAATTTCTTATGTTGGCTAATTTTCATTTGTGTTTACATCATTGACCAAATTGCTCAGATTTGCAGCCTTGGACTGTGAATGCTTCTCTTTTCAGAGAAGAAAAATAACAAGAGGAATTGTCTTTCTGAGTGTGTATTCCATTTCAGAGGGTTTAAAGTAAATATATATATATATATATATATGTATACATACATATATATATATATATATATATATATAAAAAGAAGAATGTCAGTTTTGATCAACAACTCCATTAACCCAAAATACACACAGAGGTCTCCTCTAGCCACAAGCTGGTGGTGTCATGGTGTGAGTGCTGACCACCAGCATGTCTTGAAATGAACAGGTAATGTCCCAGAATACTGAGCTGGGAAAAGGGAGGATCTGGAAAAGTGGAGTGGCTGCATTTTTGCTTGAAATGCACAATAAAGCTATGCTCCCACCTTATCTCTCCTCTTTAAAATCTGTATGTAGTTGGAGCATATTCCCTTCCCAACCAAAGTATTTCATCAAATCCCAGCTATGCCTTCGAGTTCAGGCTGGAAAAGGAAACCGGTTAAAAAAACCAAACTCGCAGCCAAATGTTGGTACAAAAGCAGGAAATTTTTCTCAAGAGATTACCAAGAATACTTTTTCCTATTTCTGCAGCAATCAAATGATGTAGGACAATGACTTGCACTGACGGAAATGAGGCTAAATTGTGGATAGTTCAGAAGCTTATTCAGTGAAAAAACTGAAACATGTGCCTAAATTTAAATAAGTAAGTACACTGGAATTACTCATGTGCCTAAAAATTAAAGATATGTTTAAATACATTGCTAAACTGGAGCCTAAGGGTATGGTTTAAAGTCAACACTAAACTAGTCTAGACAGTAGCTGTTGCTGAAAGTGATCATTCTTCTCCTGGTTCACTGCCCTGAAATGCCCATCCTGGAGTAAAACCCACACAGCTTGTTGACAATAACATCTACTTCCTCAACAACTTTGAAAAGCACCCATTTCTCATAAAAATGAAAGTAAAAGTCTCAGTTAGTGCTGAAGTCCATGGATTTTAGCTAGAGTCAGCTTTTGTGCTAACATGCAGCCCCTGTTTGATTTCACAAGCTCCAGCCTGTTGGAGACAGAATAGAGGGGAGCAGTTCTCCTGCCAACTGGGATGCTTTTATTTCCTCTGCTTGTGGGCTCTTCCATCCTGCCAGGGATATCCAGGGGGAAAGGAACAGCAGAGAAAATGTGTCAATGAAACCAAGCTGGCTGCAAAGCAAGAGGAGACAGGGTGCTTTGAGATGCTCGTCCCTTTCACTGGAGTTTTGGGATGCTCACCCCTGTCTCCTGAAAGACTGACTGTAATTTCTCTAGAATAAAACCACCCCAGAGGTTGAAGGGTGTTGACCTGACACAAAGGCATGTGGCCTCTTGGAAAGGTTGAGGCTTCCTTGGACACATCCCAAGAGGTCATGGGCTGAGGCAGATGATGTTTGCAGAGCTGTCTGCATTCTTAGGGTGACGGTAGCATATCTGAGTCTCTCAGTGCAGACACTGAAAGGTAGCAGAGGTCTGAGGATCCCAGGTATCCTTCAGGCAAGTTTCCTGTGGAAGGACTTGGGGGCCTGTGGATTTCCATCATGGACCATTTCTACTGTTGCTCAGTACTTGGCCGCTTGCCTGTGAGGGCTTTGTGATAAGACTCTGAACAAAGATCTAGCAGGTTTTTAATCAAATGTTTCCATTGGCTTTAATATGTTGTACCCATCAGATTAGAGTCACTCAGCAGAACTCCAGCCTTCCATACAGTGTCTGATTTATCCTTGTTCTTGCCATGTGCCCAGCTCTGCTCTGCTGACATTGGTTCTAGTTGTGCAGTCCTGTTGTGCGGTTTTTTTTTGGGTGGGGGAGTGGTGCAATTAGCCTGGTTGAAGCAACAAGGCCAAGGAACATCAAGCAGTGAAATAAAGTCTTGATGACATATTTGAACTCTTGGAGACCATGGGTTATCTGATCTGCAAGGTCACTGCTGTTCTCTGGGAAAGTTTAAAAGAATCTGCTCCTGTTTCAAGCTTAAAGGGCCCTTCTTGATAATTGTAGGATGCAAATCCAGTTTTTCTGTAAGTATATGCAGTTGGTGAGTGTCAGACTATTTCGTACCTGTGTTTTTATTTCCTTTTCTTTTAACTACTCATCAAAAACAACCAGAATAGTTTTAATAAACAGAAGGAAAAAGTGACTCCAGTAAGGCTCCTTCTGCTACCAGAACTGAATGAAATACAGAAAGGAAAATGATAATATGAAAATGAGAAACCTACAAAGAACTTAAAAATTCCTTTTAATCATTTAAACTGTCATCAGTAGCTGAAATAAGGAATTATATTTCAGACATGACTTATACCAGGCATGCATTAAAAAGAAAAAGGCAAATTGATAGTGCCTGAAGATTCTGTGC